TTGAACAATAAATACCGGCGTTAGAAACAGTACGTAATATCTCTGTCTTATCAATAATTTTGGAACTGTACAGTGAAAGAGCCCTATCTCGGTAACCGGGCGTATATATATATTCTCTTTGCTTAGAATGACCGATAGTATAACCTCCCAGAATATTGTCCTTTCCTCCTGGGACATTCTGCATATCTTGATAATGTCCCAACATTTGTCTGGAAGGACTGAAGAAGTTAATAAAAATCTCAGTCCGTGTTCTAGCCTAGACTGAGTCAGACACCTCCCAGGCACAAAACAGAAATGTCGCCGCTTGAGCCAAAATTCACAGCGTGGATTTTCTTTGCGACAGAATATGCTATCAGTGCCTCATCACAAGGGCACTTTGAAACATGGCGGCTGGGTCACTAATAACGGCATAACTTGCTTTAACTAAAAATTTTGAGAGAAAGTTCAAACCTCATATACTTTGCTATCCTTTGTTTTTTTTAATGGATATTGTGGGTGGTAGGACTGGGGCGAACGGACTTCACGTAAGAGAACATTTCATATTTCCGTGCATGAGGGTGGCAGCACTGCAGTCTCAGTTAGGGACGTTGGGGAAGACGATGCAGGGAAGTGCAGTGCATGTGTATGTTGATCTTGTGTTGAACAAATTCGTCAAAATCTTCAGAGCTGCATATGGTCCAACTCCAAACGCATTGCAGGTACGAACAAATGTTATGTAGTTTCATAAATAATAGAGAATTACATGAAATAAGGGCTGTATTATTAACTACGATTCCAAGAAACAACCCCCACGTGGTGTTACGGTTCTTAGTGAATGGCTCATACGTACTACGCTTGAATGGCAAGTTTCTGCCATCTGTCAGATTTTTGAGGAACTGTCGATGGGGGCATGAGGGGGCAAACGGACAAACGCTGATTCATCGATCTGAAATTAACACTGTGTGTATTGGAGGAGAACCTATGTAATTTGTTCACTGTATTTTCCTTAACTCCCACGGTTATAGTGTCCTCTTTAGTTCCTGTCAACTTTCATAATCACGGGAAAAAAATTGATCGTTGTAAAGGGCCTATAGATAATACACTCGCATCTGTAAAACTCTTGAACTGCGCCTAGCAACAGCCCTAAAACGTAGGTAATATCAAGTAACAATTCGCGAAGTTAAATGTAGAGATACGGAACTTTATACAACATACTACATTTAGTGAAGCAGAGGCAGAAGACGTGACATAACTAGCAAAACTGAACAACACAGATTATGGGATTACACAACAAAGAAATCTACAGCTTTCTATGTGAGTGACATGGAGCATTAAACTAACTCCGAGTTACAGATGTCAGGGAAAGACTGTCTTCGGGGATTTATGAGTCTCCACACAATTGCAGTGGGGTCACGCGGTAACGTAGTTGGTTGAGGCACTATGTTACAGGCCGGAAGGTCGCAGGTTTTATTCCCGATGAAGTCATCGGATTTTTCAATTGACGTAAACCTTCCAGCCACATTATGGCCCTGGGGTCGACTCAGCATCTAATAGAAATGGGTAACAGGGATCTTCGTGGGGGCAAAGGGCGGCCGGTGCCTAAGGCCGATTGTCTAGAAAGTGTGGAAGCCTCGACGTCTCAGTACCCTGTGGGCTTCCACGGTCTGTTATATGGACGACTTTACCTTTTTAATACAATTTTAGTATGAGAAACTTTACTGTTATCTCGAGCCCCAGGAATTTCAAGAGATAAACTCAGTAAATTTTACACACATCTGTCCAAACCTTCTGCTCCTGTGATTTTAATTCTCGATGACCACGTGTCACACTTTTCAGAAGCTCCAGCATAGAGAAGGCATTAACAGACGAGGTTTTAGTGTTATACTCGCTACCTCATTACACTCACAAGCTTCAGACCTTGGTCCACTGAAGATGTTCCGTATTGATGCCTGCAGAACATACATCCTAACAAAACCGGGGATCGCCCGGAACAGTGTGGCATTTTGAGGCATATTTGCAGAAGATTTAAATCGTGCAGACATTGTGTAAAAATGCTGTAAGTGGGTTCAAGGGTTGCGGCATATTTCTTATCAATTTTAATCAAATTTCTAAACATCATTTTACTCCGAAAAGTCCAGGGACACAGAAAATTAGCAGAGACACAAGTTGTGTCGCAATAGCAAGCAGGGGAAAATCAGAGGACACTGCACCTCAACGGGAAGGACGTTTGACACCATCTCAAGTGACTACAGCAAGAAGTTTCGAAGATGTCAGCAAAATTAACCAGCACATCGCAAACAAGGGGAAGAAAAACAAGACATTCCGAAATGTGGCAGATCCGAAATGTATCTAGAAGTTAAAACAAAGACCTCTGCCTTAGGAAGAGAGACAAGCACTGCCAAGGGTCTCATTAATAAGAAAGCCAGACAGGCGAGTCACGGGTCAGACGATGTATGCTTGGAGTGTATGCAAAGTCGATGAGTGCTGCGTACAGAATATCTAGTGTCTGTATTGCTGCCACGTACACGGCGCACACAACGGAGTTTTGTGCCATAACTGTTTGAAGGACAAGAGTGACTGCGAAAAACAGCGTTATTTTACCGCTACACAATGTCCATTTACCCCCAGTGGTAAGTAGCAGATGCACAAAGGCGGTGTGCTTAATAAAAACTGTTTTAAAATGTGATATCATCAATAGATAAAGTTAATATTTTAATAGAGCAAACATCACTGAATGCAATTAGAGAAATTAGTATGCTTTTGAATGAACCACGTGTGAGGTATAAAATTTTTTGTGGTGTCTGTTTGCTCCTATCTTCTTGCTTGCCACCTGCTTTCACGCTGGTATCCTGCTCGGCTTATTCGACTCTGAAGATGGAGGCGATATGTTCCTTCGAAACGTCCGTTGACTTTAAACGGACTACACGGCATTATATTCCAGAATATAGTAGTCTTCATAATCACTGCTGTGGGACTCTGAAATCCTGCATAAATATTTCTATATGAATTTTGTATAAGTGGGTTTAGATAATTACTGAACTTACATGATTTGATGAAATTTGTGTCACATTAATACAGATCTACATAATCCTATCTCTTAATTAAAATATTCCACAGAAAAACAGTTTCAAGATAGGATTATATTAATATGCAAGTAGCAAGACGCTTATGTTTAATTTCTGACGAAAAAAACCAAAATAACCAACTTAAACACGCAGATGAGAAAGGGAACACAAACAGCGATCTTCACAGAACAATACAGTTGCTCTGAACTTCTTCATTTCAACCAACATATAGACAAACATAAATGTTTTATACAGAATCAATAGTGGCTTATTGTGATAGGTTTGTATTATTATGACTAGAATTTAACCTCACAAATATTGCAACTTCACATAGCCAACATCAGCAATCACATGCCTCTAAACAAATAAGCATCACTTCCCTTATTTGATGAATAAGTTAGTACCATAACTTCATCAGTTAACAGTATATAACACGTCTTTGTCTTAACATTAGCCTCCGTTTTCATTTGATAATTAAAGTCTTTCGTTTTCACCGGATGAATTCACTTCGTTTTTCAAACTGCCGGACTTCTTTGGTCGCAATTGTTGTACGTTTATTTCTGTAATGCCAAGCACAGTGTTTGGATTCTGCTGGTTGAGTTTAAGGGAATGTTTTTTTCCCCTCATTCTCATCTCTGTGAAGGTTACGTAATGTCAGAGATAAACCGGAAATTACGTCTAGCGATGACCTTTCTCCTTCAGAAATCAGGAGTCACAATTACAGTATCATAGACAATGATCAATGTCACTAAGGGACATAATGATTTCAGATTGAAAATTTCGAATTCATGAGATCTTAGTATAATATAACATACGAGAATATATCGTGAAGGAAACTGATATAAGAAAACCCATAATATAGATGAAAATAAGAAATGTTAATGCATATTCTGTGTGTTCTCTTCACGTAACACATTACCTATCCTGTCTAGGTTTGTTTTCTATATGGATATTATGATCTAGCTACTAAATATAATTAATTTTATATGCGAAATATTATATATGTAAGATTTGAGGCTTTCACGGCGGTGACTATGAAGAAAGCAGTTTTCTGGGATTTGGCANTATATTTTTTTCAAATTAGTTTTGTTCCTTCCATATTGCACTAGTGGAGAATTTCCAATTTGGAAGAGAGTTAAACAAGAGTAAACTTAGTTTCAAGCAAGCTGAATAAGCCTGTGTATCGCTCTTCTCCGAAACTGCTTAATGCAAGTCTGAAGAGTGCGCTAAGAAGTGGTGACCTAACACAGGCCTACAGCGTCTCATATTGACAGATTGTAATTTTTACGGTTTGGAAATTATTGGTTCCATACAAGCGAAATGTAACAACTCAACGTCATCAATGCAGATAAATATTATTCTTTGATGAAGGCTTATGACAAGAAGGAATCTCTGTTTGAAGCAAGAGTTCGTCAGGAACAAGTAATGGGCACCGAATAAAAATAATGGCACATTTTACTTAAAATGATAAAAGGAAGTTTCTTACGGAATTTTTCAGTAATGATACAAACAAATAATTTATTACATCTTTCAAATAAATTGTTCCTCATCTTCCTGTTAATGTGTTAACAATTTCAGCTTGAAAGCGTAACGGAGCCATGCGCCAGACACGCCATATTACTCTGTCGAATTTCTTGCAAAGTTGTATAAGCTATTAGTGTTTATCTGTAATGCCTTGACAGATGAGGGGTGGAGAGGTCGTGAAGCGAAACTTCTCAGTTAGTGTTCCTGTAAGTGCCACTAGGTCATTCTGGTCTGAATTCTTGTATTTAACGAATGAACACGTTAAAAACTTTAGTAACTGCTGTGTTAAAACAAACAGTTAAAAACTGCTCAGTTTCGAGGACATAAATTTCTTTTCGTTGTTCCTATTTTCGTAATACAAATTTCTCTCTCCTGCGTTATTATTATTATTATTATTATTATTATTAGTAGTAGTAGTAGTAGTAGTAGTAGTAGTAGTAGTAGTATTTTCATCATCCTTGTCATATCAAATGTCTGCTTTTTGTTAAACATATATTTAAATATTTTAAATTTTAGTTGTAATCTTCTGTTATTCCTATTGGTCAATTCTTAAAAGTCGATTATAGGTTTCTGGTCCGCTGACTATTAATATGTTTTACCCATAATTAAGGTCAAGGGTGCATTAAGATTTTCATGACGATATTTGGTGGTCATCTATACAGATCTTCCATTCAAATATACCGGAGAGGCACACATTTCGAAACTCACTGTTGGCAGGCCTGTCACTCCTTTCACAGAGATGATTTAAAATATCGTTTGATACAAGACATTCGGTTTCCTGGTAGGCTAAAAACGTCAATTATTTGCTTTTTATATTTTATCAGACACAGTAAATTTGAATTACTGCTTAAACGGAAGTTAGGGGCGTCTATATCGATAGTATCGACTTCTTGTATCAGTCGTCTGTATCGATTTATTGTGTCAGGGAGTGCACGATACAAACTTAAACAGTCTTCTCGCGGGTGGTGAGTCCTAGGGCTTCTGCATGTTTCTTAGCTTTTAGCCTAAGATCCGCAATGCTGGAGTTCTTGGACTGCAGACGATCGTGGTGGACTGCGGCGAGTGCAGCCAGTCCAAGTGGGTATTGCGGGTGGCAGAAGACCAGGGGAGACGAATTGGACGTCATCGCTGCCGCTGCAGCTGCGTACTGCAAACAAATGGTGAAAGTTATTAGCTTCACTACAAACACTCGAGAGTGGTCTGAGATAAAATTGCTTCTCTGCAGTTTGTTACACTGGTTCTAAAACGTCCAAATTCAGTTTTCTCCCTTATTTTGTTTATATATAAGTTTAAATAAACACCAAAAGCCCTGCCAGATATTGTTCGTTATATCCGGGTCTGTTATAACTAGGTAAAGGTAAAAAAGGTGAAGTTATCCCTGTAACAGGTCATCAAGGCCCATAGGGCTGTGAGACGTCGAGGCTCCCACAGTTTCTAGAACAATCGCCTCACAGATGGCGGTGAGTTTGTCAGCCTTACGCGCCGGCCGCCCTTTACCTGGTACTCAATTCTGTTAGAGGCTGAGTCGACCAAAGGGCCATAGTGCAGCTGGAAGGATTAGGTCAATTGAAAAGTATAATGACTCCATCGGGAATCGGACCCGCGACCTTCCGGCTTGTAGCATATTGCCTCAACCAACTGCGCTACCGCAGTTATAACCAGGTTTCACTGCAATTAATTTTAATATCAGCTTATTTTATTACATTAGTGATTTAGTGTAGTCTCGATTTCTAATGATAAGATCCCTTTATGACGACCTGTGCAAAGCTTTGCCTTTGTTGTGGAGGCTACGCCTTCTGATGGCGGCCAGGTACAGGTTGAATCATGTGAAGGAGACATTTTACTTTAAACTTGTTGCGCTTAATGGACCGGGTCACTCATTCTTATTGTAACATGTTGACCAATTGCCAAGTAACAGCAGTGGAAACATTCAAGATTAAAACAGCCGTTGCTTGGGAACATCTCTGTGAAGACATGTTTCCCCAGCAACTGGAGGACACGCAATAATGGAAAAGATTTTCTGTACGATCCGTGCCGGGGTTATATAACAGTTGTCTGACAGTTGATAGGTACAGTTGTGAGATGTGAAAAGCTAATAGCTGAGGCTGGGGAAAGTTCGCCGTTGGAAGCCGTTACCAAGCAACGGCTAGTAAAGACTGAGGACACTTTATGTGCACTGTAGTTATAGTGAACTTTGGAGTGTGTAACTCAGTGAGACTGTCGTAGTTTTTTGTATTTACGAGTTGTTCAAGAGTTCAATAAATCCCGTTACCTATCCCAACTATAGTAACACTTACCACGTGGCAGTATCAGAGGAAGATGTGTCTCACCTGGTGGGCCGCGGTCAGCAAAGCCGGGTCGAAGGCCGAGAAGGCAGGGAACGTGAGGCGGTCGTACGCTGTGGGGAGCCTCAGGGACGGCACATTCACATAGGGTGCGACCCGGCACGGCTCCAGAGGGGTTGCTATAGGAGGGCTGTGGCTCGTCAGCATCATCCCTGCCGCTGCGAACAGTGTTGCCAACTTTTCAGTCATGGTCTTTTGAAATGAAGAATCGTAGGATGACTGGTGAATTGGAATGGATGCGAAAGGAAACGCTTTTGATGTAATGTGGGGTAGTATTTTGGCGTTTGTCTGGAGGTATTGGGGACAGTAACAAAAACTTCGCCAGGTATAGTTGGTCTCCGCGTCGAGAATTGAAACAAAGACCTACAGAGTATGAAGCAGGAGTGGCCCCTCACTCCACTGCGACTTCCGTTGCTTCTATGATGAAAAATATATGTATGCCAAGTTTTGATTAGGAAATCTCATACAAAGAGATAAGTTTGCAGACAAACGCATGAATAAGAGAGTAATGCTAGAATTGAAGATATGTGTTCTGAGAGATAACGCTGTGTAGTCCGTTTAAAAGTCAGCCGACGTTTCGGAGGAACATCTTACTTTCCTATTCAGTGTCGAAGAAACTAGCATGAAACATGCAGGAAGCGAGCGTTCAACAGACTACACGGAGTTATACCCCAGACGTTATAACCCTTCATAACCACCGCTGTGAGAACCTCAGACTCTACACGGAGTTATACCCCAGAAGTTATAACCCTTCATAACCACCGCTGTGAGAACCTCAGGCTCTACACGGAGTTATACCCCAGAAGTTATGACCCTTCATAACCACCGCTGTGAGAACCTCAAATATTACAGTATTACCATTATTGATAGAAAGTTTATAATAGGCATTCATAAGGCTCCACTACATAAGGCATAAACTACGATAACTTCCTGTCTTATGCGATATAATTGTGGTATTGAGAACAGGGTGCTGAGGAGAATATTTGGACCGAAGAGGGATGAAGTGACAGGAGGTTGGAGAAAACTGCATAATGAGGAGCTTCATAACTTGTACTCTTGTCCAAGTATAATTAGAATGATCAAGTCAAGGACAATCAGGTGGGCAGGGCATGTAACACGAATGGGGAAGACGAGGAATGCATATAGGATATTGGTGGGAAATCCAGACGGAAAGAGACCACTAGGAAAACCAAGACATAGGTGGGTGGATAATGTTAAAATGGATACTAGATAGATAAGATAAGGTGGCATGGACTGGATTGATCTGGCTCAAGATAGGGACAAGTGGAGGGCTCCTGTGGACACGGCAATGAAGTTTCGGTTTCCATAAGATGTTGTGGAGTTGAGTGGCTGCACAACTGACAGCTTCTCAATAAGCGCTCAGCTCCATGGAGAGAGTTAGGTTACAAAGAACTTTGTCTAAAGTATCTCTGACCGTGAGCCATTATCGGAGAGACTTAGATCTAACTTCATCATTATGGCGTCACTGCGCAAGATGGGAACCAGAAATACCGTACCGAAGTTTTCGTTGAACACACAGGACTTTTCTTCCGCAAGGTCGCCTACCCAAGGCATGACATTCCTTCTCAGATATTTCAGGCAAACAATATTGCAGCGTGTATAACTGTTGCTGGGGCAGCAGGTTCTTAATAAACTGTGTTATGCCACCCGTTTCTGGGCAACAGCTCGGCAATTACATACCCGTGACAACGAATACGCACGAAACAATAGAAGAACGGCGTTTTCTATGTGTTCCGCGCCGAGAAGTTAAAACCAGGACAGGTGGAGCACTGAGTCAGTTGAGTTCTGCAAGGGAGACTGAGAAGAGATGGCTCTGTAGTTCAGTTGTGGGATATTCGTCGGACGGTAACGACGTGAACACAGAAGCTGAAGAATCTCCATTGTTGACAGCTGTTACCAAGCAACGACTAGCGAAGACACTGCAGGCTGGAGAAGACATGCGTAGAGATTGGTTAAAGTGTGGAAATCAGCGATAGCGCTGCAATTATTTGTAGTTACGATCTGTGAGTAGTCAATAAATCAATTGACCAATTCATACCCCTTCATTCAATCACGTGACAGTGCCCTGCAAGCAGGAGAGAAGACCATGCAGCCATTTGAGTGATGTAGAAGCGTATTATTTTTTTATTGCTAGTGGGGTGGGACTAAGTCCCTTGTACGGCTGCCACTTCTGGCCTATTGTACCAGCCCCAGATGATAGGTGAGGGTGATTGTGGAGCAATTGATGGAATGAAGATTGGAAGGGGAAACCGAAGTACTCGGAGAAAACCTGCCCCAGCGCCACTTTGTCCATCACAAATCCCACTTGACCAGACCCGGGATCGAACCCGGGCCGCCGCGGTGGGAAGCCACCGACTCACCGCTTGAGCTATGGCGCGGCCCATGCAGAAGCGTAACAGAGCCTTGGGCGTATGAATGAGAAGGCCTCCATTTGTAATTAAGACATCGGTTTTCTTGAAGTCAGAGGCAAGGCTTACTCATCTTAATTACAGTAGAGTTGGCCGTGAAGTCCCTCCACCTAAAAGGGAAGTTATCTTATTAATTAATTGCTTCCTCAGTTAGTATTTGCCCCCTTGGGTATGTACCACAGAGGTGAGATAGCTTCAGCAAAGAGTTCAGTCAGTGTACCTTTGATTTGTTTAATTTAATATTCTATACCGAGACAACCGGAAGTGACAAGAGGTTGGAGAAAACTGCATAATGAGGATCTTCATAATTTGTACTCTTCACCAAGTACAATTAGAATGATCAAGTCAAGGAGGATGAGGTGGGCAGTGCATGTAGCACGAATGAAGGAGGAAAGGAATGCATATAGGATATTGGTTGGAAAGCCAGAAGGAAAGAGACCACTGGGAAGACCAAGGCGTAGGTGGGTGGACAATATTAAAATGGATCTTAGAGAGATAAAATGGGATGTTATGGATTGGATTGATCTGGCTCAGGATATGGACCAGTGTAGTGCTCTTGTGAACACGGTAATGAACCTTCGGGTTCCATAGAATGTTGGGAAATTCTTAAGTAGCTGCAGACTTGGCTTCTCAAGAAGGGCTCAGCTTTATGAGTAAGTAATTAAGTACCGAGAAAACCGCGATGAAAATATTAACATAGGCCTACTGCGTTCTGTGTGGTGTGTGTACTGTATTCTACGATGTCGCTCTCAGACTCTATCCCGTCAGCTGGTAGGAAGCTAACAAAATAAATAGAAATGATATGGAGGCAAGTTGTGTGGCCTAATTTTGTGGGGAGACTGAGGGAAAACTATTAGAAATCTCAAGAATATCCGGTGTCCCGGTCAAGATTCGAAGCGAACACATCCGGAATACGATTCCAGGACGTTACCTTAAGTTCGTAGCAGAGATACTAAGATCAGTTTCAATGAGTCAAGTTTTGAATGTTAGTTCATGGAATTAAAAGGCAAAATTGTCTCTGTGATTAATTAATTAAGCAGTATGACTTTAAGACGTATGGGAGAATGGAGGCACCTCGGCACTTGATGGAAGTGAGTGGTCAGCTTCACTCCACAGCCGCTTTACCCTCAAAGAAAAAGCCCCCGGTTCTCATTCGCTAGAAGGCTGGAGGGGCCCCAGATCAGGTCTGGACGTTTGGAGAATAGAAAAATCCCTCGTCCATAATGGGAATCGTAGGAAAGCGTTTTGTAAAAGTAAGATAAAGCTATCCCTGTAACAGGCCGTGGAGGCCCATACGGTTGTGAGACGTAGAGACTCCCACATTTTCTCTAGACAATCGGCTCACACATGGCGGTGATATCAGTCTTACGCGCCTGCCGATCTTTGTGACCCAGGAAGATCCCTGGTACTCATTCTGTTAGCGGCTGAGTCGGCCACAGGCCTATAGTGCAGCTGGAAGGATTAGGTCAACTGAAAATATCCAATGACATCGGGAATCGAACCCGCGACTTTCCGGCTTGCATCATTGTGCCTCAACCATCTAAGCTACCGCGCGGCCCCGGGAAAGTATTGGACAATGAAGAAATTGATGCCGACATTTTGGCTCTTTTACTATTTCTCAGGCTCTGGAATCTGAAAAATTTGTTTGTAGAATGCAGTCTGTCTCTGTGTGAATGCATGAATGTAAGGCCCCTGTAGCGCGTAAACCTATGTTCGGGCATTTGAGAGCGCATCCACCATTGGTCGGTACTCGGTCCCCAAAACAGGGGCCTTTCAAACTGGCATAAAGTGGCGATTTTTTTCTAAAATGGCTAGTACTATTACTTAATGGAGACAATCTCCTTAAATACAACTGCATCGGTGGATCTTCTTGCAAACAGCGGTACAGGGACTAGGAATTCAAATATGAAATATCGATTCCGTCAGTGGGACGGATTTCATTTTTGTTTGCTGTTCAGTAATCTACCCTTCGAGTCCCGGGTAACTTAAGGCCAATATTTTGCTCCGAGGTGGCGCTGGAACAGGAAGACCAACCCCTCCTCTCGTAGAATGACATACGTGTAAGTGGTATGGTCATGGGTCCCGACGGGGCTCAAAACAAAGACTGACTGTGTTGGCGACTGCAAGTGGGAAATTATTCTTCTGCTCTTTGCACGGATTTTCATTACCAATATGGGCCACGTCATTCTTCCCTGGCTGCATACAGCACTGTAGTTGTTCGGGCAGCATGCCTTGCAAGGGGCAGTGAGGGTATATAAATCAAGGACATGAGAAAACTAGGGTAAAGCCGCAGAAATGGGGGAAGTTTCATCATCTAGAAACAAGTGTAATGAAGGGGTAAGACCTCAGGGTGAAGGATCTTTTAAATTTGATTATATTCACTATAGTGATTCACTTTACAGGGTGAACATTTATTACACATAGGGAGTTCAAAGAATTAGGTCGCTTTTTTTTATAACTTCCAGAAAGAGATCATTTTGAAAGGCAATGAAACAGAATGGTTGAAACGTGGTTAGTAGAGGTGGTGCTTGTATTGCGGGGAAGGGGGACATGTGCAGCACATTTTAGAGATCTGTCAGGAAAGGTATTGTCATTTAATGTGCTATGATTACGCCAGTTCCTATGTTATTACATTTAATTTTCCATTGAATCTGCTTTGCATTTTAGGACGGAGTTTCTTGATACCTGTATATAGGGCTATGCCGTCCTTTTGTTGCACCTTTGCCGCTTTTTCAGTTTCTTAATCCTGTACACAATGTAGGACTTTTGGATGGGGGGTCAGCCCGTTGCAAGGCAGCTACCTATATACAGAACAACACAAACATAGAATAAACGCACTCTCAGACATACGTGCCTTGAGTGTGGTTCGAACCTACGATCCCAGTGTTCGAATGAAGACAGTTCATGCCTTAGACCGCGCGGCCACTGTGATCAGGGTTACCTTGATATTCCTTACTTAAATAAGAAAATTATCCTAATTAGTCATTATAGTAATACGGAGTAAAAATAAGATGATGATGATGATGATGATAATAAGTTGACTGCAACTCGGAGCCCTCGGTCATCTAGCGGGCAGCCTGTCGCTATAGCGACTGCTCTGTCCCGGCTTCCTTTAGAGGAAAGCTATCCCTGTAACAGACCGTGGAGGCCCATATGGCTGTGAGACGTCGAGGCTCCCACACTTTCTAGAAAATCGGCTTACAGATGGCGGTGAGATTGTCAGCCTTACTCACCGGCCGTCCGCCCTATACCCCAAGGAAGACTCCTGGTACTGATTTCTTTTAGAGCCTGAGTCGAGCCCCGGGTGTTAGTGTGGCTGGAAGGATTAGGTCAATTGAAAAATACAGTGTCCTTATTGGGAATACACAAACATGAAAATGGACTCGAAACTTGAGAGCCCTCTACTGATGAAACTGAGAACTACGCACTTATTCTCGTTTAAAACAACGTTTACTTGGTACGTCAATATCTTACAATATGCGAGGCCATAAATAACCTGAAACAGGCGTTATATGGAGAGGAGTACTTTTACACTCAACCGCGAGATAGCAGCACTCTATCGAGCCTTTACTTGATTAAATTAAGTAACGTGACCCATCTCTCATATTGCTAAATGACTTTAATCGAATCTAAAGGCTGTTGATGTATGTGAAACAGATTTAAACGAGTGAAAAGCGCCAAAGGAATTGCCCCCCTGTGGCTTCCAGCGCCGTCCTCTGTTTCGCTACTCTTTATAATAGGAGGCTTTCAACGGCCCTCTCGGGAGTCGAGAGAAATCTAATTGGATCGGTCAATGCAACAAGCGTGTAAATCCGCTGTTGGAACTTCCATGCATATAAGAATTATTATACGCTATTACAATTTGAATATTTTGTTTATGTACATGATTACTTGAAGGGTGTCGCTCCTGTGTCTTTTAGAATTTAAAATTTGTTCCTTCTGTCCAATAAAGATTGTTCATGGCACAAGGGATTTCAGAATTCTGTCTGTTACGTATGTCGGAAGAGTCTATAGTACTGTATAATTTTACGTTGTGCCATCAAGGAGACACTTCGTGATTTTAATATAAGAAACTGTTATATCCAGCTCTGTAATTTCTGAATTTTTCAGTCAAACAAGCCTCCATTTTAATATTATTGCATTCGCGAGTATAAGGGTTCTAATGACATTAAGATGCATCAATATTAAGCCAATCTCAGTTACGTATGTGTTGGATTTATCTCTGACATTAAGGGAGGAAAATAAAGTGAGGGTGTTTGAGAACAGGGTGTTGAGGAGAATATTTTTCACCAAAGAGAGATGAAGTGACAGGAGGTTGCAGAAAACTGCATAATTGAGGAGCTTCACAACTTGTACTCTTCTCCAAGTATCGTTAGAATGATCAAGTCAAGGAGCATGAGATGGACATGGGATGTAGCACGAATGGGGAGAAGATGAATGTATATAGGATATTGGTGGGAAAGCCAGAAGGAAGGGACAACTGGGAAGACGAAGCCATAGGTGGGTGGGCAATATTAAAATGGATTTTAGAGAGATAGGATGGGATGGTATGAACTGGATTGATCTGGCTCAGGATAGGGACCAGTGGAGGACTCTTTTGAATACGGTAATGAACTTTCGAGTTCCATAAAATGCTGGGAAATTCTTGAGTAGCTGCAGAATTGGCTTCTCCTTAAGAAGGGCTCAGCTCCATGAAGTTAGTTAGTTGGGTTTACAATTAGACCCAGGTATTCAAATGCCTGTTGGTCTTGTCTATGCTGACGTAACCATCTAACAAGATGAACACAAATACTTGTCATAAAGAGGCAAAAGAATTCGAGTAACTAATTGTACACGTAATTATCCATTCCCATTTACGAAATGAAACCATTCTTGTAAATTTCTTTCTGGGACGTTAATATTCTCTCAGGGGGACAGTAAACTCCCCGTTTTCTATGGAATCCGAAAGTTCATTACACAGTTCACAACCCCGCCTCCTCCATAACCTACTAGTTTTTATTCTGAGCCAGATGAATCCAATACGGATCCTCACTCTGTATTGCTTTAAGGTTCATTTAAAGGTAAAAATGTAAATTTGCGCTTTTGCTTTAATAAATACTGCGCCATGAAGTCGTATGAGGGATTGGAGATAGATCCACGTCTTCTTAACCTCTTCGGTAGTTCAAGGTAAATGGTCAACTTCACGCTCTGGCCGAATTGCCCCCGGAGAAATAACCCCGTATCCATTGGATAGGAGGCTGAGTGGCCCCGAGAACCGGTGTGGACGACGCAGAGAGGAGAAAAATCTTGACCCCACCGGGACTCGAACTGCGAATCCTGGGCCATGCAGTTCGTAGCCAGTCGCTATATCGGCTCTTAAATTCTAATTAGTTATTATATTTCATCTATCTTTAGGCTTTCTGAGGATTTTCGATTAAATTTTTAAATTAATTTCTCGCCCTACCTATATATGCTCGTGGAGTGGGACTAAGTCCCTTGTACCGCGGCCACTTCTGCTGTTATATAACTTACTAGTATATATATATATAAATGTGAACATGGAACTCACCTTTCTGCATCTGACTCTCGTGTTTCCTGCATTTCGCCCGTCTGTTCTGAAACCAAACCTGACAAACACAAACCATATTTAATTATTCTGAATATCATTTCTAATTAAATAAGAAATCTGTAGTAACATTTTATGTATGTATGTAAGGGGTGGGCCATAAAATTCGGCCCTCTCACTGCGACCTTCAATGATCTATTATGCTTCCCCTTCGGATTAACCCTTTATTAATCCTACACTTCGAATGAAATGTAGGACTTTATTTATGGGGGCGTCATGATCACTTGGTTCCACAAAGAACTGACCCAGGTGACGAAATTTTAAATAAGCTATGGCCTCATAGTCACCTAGGAAACAGTAACACTGTAGATTCTAAAGCAGTGCTGTCCGACGTTCTTATGTACTCGGGCACAATTCACTGATGCCTATGGAGGTGCGGGCGCCACCACACACTACTACTGGTAGTACTTCTACTACTACTACTACTACTACTACTAATAATAATAATAATAATAATAATAAACAATAACAATAATAAAATTTTTCGAAAATATTTAACAGTACTCAGACGTTCAAAAATGTCTCGTCTTACAATTTGAATTAATATTAAAAATCGGCTCAATTATATGTGGTTACGGAGGGCGCCAGAAAAATATACCGCGGGCGCCGCGTTGGACAGGGCTGGTGTAAAGGGTGTATAAAGCACAGAATTATTGGGGGTTTCGACTTTTCCCATCGGAATTCTAGAGAATAAAATGCAGGACGATGGATAAAGCTCCAAACGCCAGTAATTCTGTGAGTAATATTATGTGTGAACAAGTTGCTATTGTTCCCGTGACCGCAGTTCCTGCAGCATCAGCGAGTGCGAATGTTTTACTTGATGATGGCCACAAAAAGCCGAAGCATATTATAAATAATTTATAAAATTTCCACACGAACTGTGGTGACGGAACAAACAAAGGGACTGGGAACGCAAGTACATACCGCGCGATAAAAGTAAAGCTATCCCTGTAACAGGCCGTGGAGGCCCATAGGGTTGTGAGACGTCGAGGCTCCCACATTTTCTAGACAATCGGCGAACAGATGGCGGTAAGGTTTTCAGCCTTACGCGCTGGCTGCTCTTTACCCCAGGAAGATTTCTGGTACTCATTTCTGTTAGAGGTTGAGTCGATCTAAGGGCCATAGTGCGGCTGGAAGGATGAGGTCAACTGAAAAATCCGATGGCGTCATCGGAAATCCAACCCGCGACCTTCCTGCTCGAAGCATATCAGTGTCAAATATAATTGTGATGAAAACGTAAAGGCATGTTTAGTTTGCCCCTGTGCTTACGCACCATGCCATGAAGACATGGGGGAGTGGAGGTATAACTCCGCCATTCATTGACCTCGACACTAGAAGGAGGTGAGTAGTCAGCTTCACGCCTAAGCTATTTTACCTCTGGAGGAAAAAGCCCCCGGTACCCATTGGATAGGAGGCTGGGTGGGCCCCAGAGCCAGTGTGGACGCTGTGGAGTATAGAAAGAGCTCTTAACCCTGGCGGGAATCGACCCTCGTCCATCCAGCCCGTCGCTATACTGACTGATCTGTCCCGGCTCGTAATTGTGATGTGGTGGAGCACTGACCTGAACTCTGGCTTCGCTAAGTCCCAGCCTCTGGCTAAGTTCCTCTCTCATGAAGGCGTCTGGGTAGTGTGTCTCGTCAAACAGCCTCTCCAGCTCGTTGAGTTGCTCTAACGTGAAGTTGGTACGACTGCGGCGCTGCTTGTTCTGTTTCGGTGTGCTGGCGCCGTTGTGGTGGTGATGGTGGTGATGGTGGTGGTGATGATTCGTATTTAGGTGGTCTCCTGTGTTCTCTTTCCTCTGGTTCTGTTCCAGCACTGTAACACAGCAACATAATATCACATACAGTGGCGTGCTGTCTTTGTATTGGGCTTATTTATGAAGCAGTGGCGTACAATTATTAATTCCTAATTATCTGCTTAATTATATGAGGTATATAACCTCAAGGAAGGCGTTAGTGTTTTCAAACTCGAGTTCGTTAAACAGTGTTACATTTCTGAACGTTAAATAGATTATTGCAGTTAAATTCGTAAATTTTCAGGGTTCTGAAACAACTTTTGCCAACTCCTCTGTGAGTTGGTGAGGAGAAATATTAAAAAAAAGTAAAGCCATCCCTCTAACAGGCCGTGGAGGCCCATAGGGTTGTGAGACGTTGAGGCTCCCACATTTTCGAGACAATCGGTTCACAGTTGGGGGTGAGGTTGTGAGATTTATGTGCTCGTCCCTCTTTACCCCCAGGAAGATTCCTAGTACTCATTTCTGTTAGAGGCTGAGTTGACCCCAGGGCCGTAGTGCGGCTGGAAGGATTAGGTTAATTGAAGAATCAATCCATTGATCTGGTCGGAAACTGAAATCGCGACCTTCCGGCTTGTGGCATAGTTCCTCATCCAACTGCACTGCCGCATGCCCACAGAAATTTAAAACTTAAATAATTTAAAATTGCTGGTCTCTCAGTGCTATTTTCGTACGGTGCTAGAAACATACATGCAAATATATCAAACACAAACATGTACTTAATTTTAAAAAGGTATCACTTTATATTCAAGTTAATTAAATTTAGAAAGAAAGAGATGATTTAAATNATTTTAATGTGTGAACATGGCATGCAATGAACTGGTTTGACGTGGATAAGTAAGCACCTGAAGATGGCATTATTATGCCGAAACATGTAGTGCGAGGGAGAGAAGGAGAAAAATGAGTGTATGCACTGCAAGACGGATTAAATAAATCATGGACTTAAATCAGTGCAACAGGACGCTAAAATATAACGTTTACTATCTATTTAATTGTATTGTTCCAATTCCGTGATTTCAAATCGTCTTTGTAAGCGAACATAAAATATTGCCGATAAAACGGATTTCATTATTTTCTTAAACAATTATTTTTTCAAAATCTTTAATAAACGCTTTGAAATTGTTGTTTTCAACGATGAAGCTTATCGTCAAAAATGAGCAGGCCAGACAGATTGGTAGCGGCGCTGTAATTGCTTGTGGTTCCGAGTTGTGTGTATAAGTGGCCAGTAAATTCATTCGCCAATCCAAACCGGTCTATAGTCACCTACACTGCGTGACAATATTTATCAACGTTTCGGAGGAACCCGCTAAGTCCATCTTTAGTGTAGAGAGACTGTATCTACCAGGATTCATGGCATCCTATCTCGGCAACCAGTAAACTTCCCATCGTTATCTAAAGATGTTTTTGTTTCAATAGTTACATAGCGTTGAATGAGATTAAAATTTTATTCTGAATGTTAAGAAGATCTAGGTAAGAATTTGGAAGGAGGAGGTCCGGGTATATTTCAAAGTACGATGTCTCTTTTCGATAAAAGAAACTCAGATTTGCATATTTATCGAAGATTAATTTAACAACCCTTTTCAAGACCCTATATTTAGCTAACCCTGTAACAGGCCGTTGAGGTCCAAATGGTTGTGAGGCGTCGAGGATCCCACATTTTCTAATTGGCTTACAGATGGCCTTAAGCGCCGGCCGTCCTTTACCCCTAGGAAGATTCCTGGTATTTATTCATGTTAGAGGCTGAGTTGACCCCAGGGCCAGAGTGAGGCTGGAAGGATTAGGCAAATTAAACAAAAATCCGATGACCTCATCAATAATCGAACCCGCGACCTTCCGGCTTGTAGCGTAGTGCCTCAACCAACTACGTTACCGCGTGTTCCAAGACCATATGTTAACTGCCATTAATTTCTTTCCTGTCTCACTAGTTTGACCGGCCTCCATGTTGTTATTATTGAAGACCGAAAATTTGGCCTATAGAGCATAGTGATGTTGTGACCGCCGGGAGCATGATGTTCATAGCAAGTTTAATGAAATTCTGTCACTTGAATCGAAAAGAATGAGGCGCTATATGCTTCCACGTAATGATAAAGTAAGTCTGTCTATCCTTAAAATAAAGGGCCGTCCAGGACTTAAAGTTCGTACGGGCTTAAACACCAAAACCTTAGGAATTGTCAGCTAAAAGCCACCACACCTGTTTGTAGACTAGAAGGCGTCCTTCGAATCCCGGTCTTGGTCACAAGAGAACACGACAAATTGTTCTTCTTTCTGTGTACCTCTCAGATCCTTGTTAAGTAAACCGGTGCTTCAAAAACAAGGAGAGAACTGTCTTGTTGCAAAGGAACAAACAAACGGCTCTCGTGTATTTGTTGTGATGTAAATCCAACCTTTCATTACATCATCAGCCCAATATGGGGCCATAGAAAGGCTAATATGTGCCCAGACGCGCGGTCATGTGCATGAAGTCCGTTCTTTTTGGAAGTGCCCCTCCCCCCCAAACCCCCCTGATTTATTGTGCCGCCGCTTTGCCGGCCCCTGAACATCAGTCACGCCGACCAACCCTACACGGTCCCCCTTGTTGTAATGAGATTTTTTTCTCCACGAATGTAACGAGATTTTTTAGAGCCTGGATGTTCTTTTTTATGTGGAAATGTTACAGAGAGAGAGATAAAAGGGGGAAGAGATTTTTATTTCACTTCCAGCCCTCGTTTTAGTTTTCATTCCCGAAATATCCTCTTCTAGAGGACGAAGAAGAATGTGGGATTGTGGGCAGAGCTGAAAGGGCTCGGTCCTCTCTCGGTTGTCAGGTGTATCAACTTCATTCGGTATGTAAAGTGACAGACAGTTGCAGATATCACAACTCGGCGATATCTCCCTCCAGTGGATTGCATCTGAATCTAACGGTGTCCTTTGCATTTGTTTCGTCCCCTGTCTGATATCCTGATCTGGAAGCAACAAAGCTTCCTTAGCTAAGTGGTGGGAGGCACCTGCGCAGTTGGGTCCTTTGTGGAGCTAACCCCAGTCACGGGACAGTGATTATTATTTTTGTTATTACTGTTATCATTATTATTATCCGTCTAGGTCCGAGGCTTTTTGTGATCTTTCGTAACAAGCTTATTTTACGGCAAGGAGTTGATAGCCCCACACCCAACCCCCACACTGGAGATCCACCCCTTGTCGGCTGTCCGCAGCTGCGTATTCAATATATTCGCAGCTACCTTCCACATCTGAAGGCCGTCTCCTCCATCCGCAACCTGAGGACGCGTCATGACGTGGCGAGAATTAAGGACTGGATCTATCTGGCTCAGAATAGGGACCAGTGGAGGGAGGGATTTTGTGAATACGGTAATGAACTTTCAGGTTCCATAAAATGTTGGGAAATTCTCGAGTAGCTGAGCGACTGGCGGCTTCTCAAGAAGGACACAACTCCGTATTATTATTATTATTATTATTATTATTACCGTCGTATCTTTGCTACTACCTGGCTTGTTACCACGTGACGTCCACAGACACAAACTGTTGTAAATCTGCTTCAGAGAACTGCTGTAAATGTGACACGAATCCCATGCTTTAATATTGTTCTTAATTGGCAATGATATATTTTGTTATTAAACGTTCAGGGAAATGTAATAATAATAATTCATTTAAATTCTTATTTATTTACGTGCTAACTGAACAGCCCCAAAGGCAAATTACAAAGTAATCACGGATAAAGAAAACTGCATAACATAACATTCAAAAGATTCAATTCATTGTTTGTTCATTTTACTGCCAACTCAACAGCCCAGAGTACAGAGTGAGTACGAGTGAAAGCAACAAACACAAAGTACAAAACAAGATAAATAACATCTGAGTAATGATGACGATGGTCGCGCCATAGCTCAAGCGGTTAGACTCTTGCTTCCATCGCGGCGGCACGGGTTCTATCCCGGGTCTGGTCAAGTGGGATTTGTGGTGGATAAAGTGGCGATGGGGCAGGTTTTCTCCCAGTACTTCGGTTTCCCCTGTCAATCTTCATTCCACCAATTGCTCCACAATCACCCTCACCTCTCATCTGGGGCTGGTACAATAGGCCAGAAGTGGCTGCAGTACAAGGGACTCAGTCCCACCCCACTAGCAATAAAAATGATTATGATAACACAGAATATATGCATTTACGAGGATACAATATATATTATAATGCGTAATGGGAAAGTAATGATAATAAACAAGCCAATCTACTGAAGTGCTTGACAACAGAAGAGAGACAAATTACAGGCAAGCATTGGAGACAGAGAACACTTTATTACAGAAGAAGTGAGCGAAAATAAACAGAGATCAAGAGAATATAAAGAAAGTAATGAGTAAGAACTACATAACACAGAGCCTCAAATATTATTAACAATTTAGGGTAGAACATTAGAAAATTTGATTGAGAGAAACCGCTCCGATTGCAGCCATATCGGGAACTTCATATCTATCGCTCTGCAGCACAGGCGCACCGAGGATTATCCCTGTAACAGGCCGTGGAGGCCCGTAGGTTTGTGAGACGTCGAGGCTCCCACATTTTCTACACAATCGGCTCACAGATAGCGGCGAGTTTGTCAGCCTTACTCCCTAACGGGCCGCCCTTTACCTCCAGGAAGATTCCTGGTACTCATTTCTGTTAGAGGCTGAGTCGACCCCAGGGCCATAGTGCGGTTGGAAGGATTAGGTCGATTGAAAAATTCCAGTGACCTCATCCGCAATCGAAAAGCGAACTTCCGGCTTGTAGCATAGTGCCTCAACCAACCACGCTACCACGTGGCCCCGAGCAGGACGACAATAATAATAATAATAATAATAATAATAATAATAAT